TAATCGGGTGAGGTTTACATCATGGTCAACTCGGGTCAGGTTTACATCATGGTCAACTCCGACTCAATACTCTACAATATGTGGGATTATTAGGTTGAGCATCTATAGTTGAGTAGCAACCAAATAAAAATTAATAAACTCAAGGAAAAATTATATATACCACGCTCAACCTCCCTACCCCCACCATATTTTCTAAATAACTCGACCCCAATACTTTTTAAACCATATCACAAACCCCAATGGCTACTTATGCATCCACACCCCCAATTAACGAAGTCGCTTTTCTAGGATGAAAATACCTTCATATCATAAAAATAACGTATGTATCTTAAAACTTAAAATTTAAAAATTTAGAGAGAAACAATCTCAAAAGTTTTAGAGAGAAACTATCTCAAAATTCAAAATTTTTGAGAGAAAACTCTCACAAATTTTAAATTTTTAGAGAGAGAACTGTCTAAAATTTCAAGTTTTAGATAGAAATTATCCCAAAATTTTATTTATTTATTTATAATCCCTTCAAATAACAATTTCTCTTTCCAAAAATTCTGAGATGGTTTCTCTCACTAAAACTTCAGATTTTCTAAAAAAATTTGAGATAGTTTTTCCCTCTAAAAAAATTAAATTAGAGCCGACCTAAAAAATTTCACTAGAAGAGATTGTTTTGATGCCCAAATATCCTCAAATTGATCATTTTGACATCAAGATGTATGGACATAAGAAAAAAACAAATTTCAAATTTTGGAAATAGTGCATCTTATAACGCATTTTTGGACAGTCAATTTTCAATATTTTCAAGTTTTCATAGATCTACTTGATCTACACTATTTTTGAAGATTTAAATTTTATAATTAATTTTGAAACTATATTTTAAGGCTATCACAAAGATTTCCAGTATTGAAACCACATTTCTCAACACTATTTGAAGGTGTGCTCTACTTTGATTGTTTAGAGCCTCAGCTCTATACAAACTGCACCCTTTAAAAAATATGGATCGGTGGGACATGCCTAGAATGTGCGGTCCTTGGGGTATACATAATTTTCCCTAAATTCATATAGTTCAATAGCTAACGGAAGGAAGGACGTCCTAGGAACCAAGTCAAATTTAAAAGAGTTGGGAAAGATTATAAAGAATGTATAATATGCTCCCTTCGGAGTATACTATACATTTACTCTCTTGGGCAAAACACACACGTGGGCAATATTTTTTTTTATTTAAAATTTCAAGATCCGTATTGTAACTATATTATTCTTTTCAAAGAAAAACAACCGTATTAGAATTTTTGAATATCTAGATTATTCCCTTAAAAAATTGGATTTTTTGGCAAGATTAAAGGCACATGATAGAGATGAGTTCATAGATCCCCAAAAAAAAAAAAAACTCAAAAGAGTGTACATCATAAGGTCATGGTACAAGAAAGTAATAGCCAGAACTAGCGCTCATATCTTAGACGGGGGGTGGCTAGAGATGCGTCTTCTCTGTGCATAAAGTTCGAGACTGTTTAATGAAGGGTTTGGTTTGCATAAGGTTGTAACTTTAAATAGGAGCACCTCTAAATTTTATCATAAATATAATTTTGATCAAATAAACAACCTTATATAAACTTTTTCGTCTAATAAATATTTGAATGTCATCAATGGAACACCACCAACCACCAATTTCACGATCAGGGGTAATTGTGACATTCTTATAACCAAGAGTCTTAAATTCTCAATATATATTCCCTATACCAAAATAAATGTTCATGAAGATAGAACATTTAAAAGACAGGGTAAGTGATGAGTCAATAAGTATGTTGGATGTGGTGGAAGAATCAGACGTGTTTCACCAGAATTAAGAATTTGGGAGCTTCATGCTCAAGGTTGGTATTTCGCCAAAATCACAGCTTCAAGAACGTAACATGAGTCCTACTTCACTTTAATAGAGTCTAGGGCTTATTTCTGGACCAGCAAATGACTATTTTTTTTATTAGACAAATTAACAATAAAATTGTTATTATACAAACTTAGAGGTCACCACCAACAATTTGTCCTGGAAATCCCCCATTTGTGGGGATTTTTTTAGTACTTTTGAGAAAAGGCTGGGGCCTTGGCGGAAGTACCAACGAGTCCTATGATTAAGTCTCTGATTCCATTCTTACCAAAAAGTAGGGCCTCAAATCCCCACTGACTTATCTTTTTCTTTGCCTTTTTTTTGTGAGTTCTTTTTTCCCTATACCAAGCCACAAGCCACAGGCCTTTGATGGCATGGTCTGGCCGTTCAATCCGTCAGTATCAGTCATGGTCTCGCTGTCCAATCCCTCAGCATCAGTCAGCTAGCGCAGTTGGGAAAAGAACTACTTAGCAAAAATGCAAGCAAGTGCGTTGAGAACTACATGCGCTCGTTTGATGCTAAAATGGAATTTGGATTGATGAAAAAGTTCTAATTTCATAGTGAGGAGTGGATGATCAAATCATTACACCAGATAAAATTAGCACTTGTATGAACCTCAATTCAGATATTAATAAGAATAAAATTGTTTAACTTCAATAAAAAAGTTAATCTGCTTATCAACATTGTCTTATGAGGCTATACACAATATTAAAGTCCCCAACAATACAGAAGGTATATTGTGCATAGATAAAAAGGAAGAGAGTTCAAACCAAAAAAGAGATCTATCATTGAGCCTGTGAGGTCCATCCACATTCATTAGAATCCAACAAAAGCCACCAGGTGGCCCCTAAAACAAAATAGTAAAATGTTTTTCATAGGCCCTAAGGCCCAGACATTGGACCCCAAAGGACCCATAAACCACCCGAAGAACCTACGGAAGATGAATAAACATAAAAAAAGCCAAGGCATGACTATCCTAGAGAGCCTTAGCTGCCTGGAGGTAAGGGCCAGGGAGCTTGGTGTCTTGCAGTAAGAGGATGTCCGACCTTTCTTTACAGATCAGCAAGCGGACCTGCCTTTTCTTCTCTCACTCTCCCGGCCCCTCACATTCTAGGACAAAGGCTTCATTTGGAATTGCAACCCCAGCCACATGTGGTGGTGCCACCACTTGTAGGCATAGCGTTCCCCTCAAAGCAAGTCATTCTCGAATCCCCTTTGCTACCTCGTAATTAATAATGGGGATCAGATTGTCTAATTCCCTCTGATTTTCTTCTTTCCTGAATGCCTCTAAAGTTCTTAACCGCAAAAGGTTAAGCCTCCTTGGTTGAAAAAACCTCTGAAATGGGCTCCATAGGCCCTGCATACTACACTCTAGAGTTCTTGACCGCAAAAGGCCAAGCCAAAGTTTTTTGTGGATATTAATACCTACCTCCTCATGCCCTCGAGACAACACCATTGATCTCTAATCCCTTCCATTTACATGCTTCAGTGTCATGTCTGCATATCATCTCCATGGCTGAGCTTCTCAAACTCTCTCTCGCGCTCTCTCAAGTATTAATTTCAGTGACATATTACAAGGATTCTAACTCTCTCAACCAATGATTTAAAAAACGGATTGGTGACCTGATCAAGCATCGCAAAAAGTGGTCTAGATTGGTGAATCAATGGTCTGAATCGTCGTTTTACTGTGCAAAAAAATAGTGAACCGGTGAACCGGCCAAAAACAAGTTTGGATCGGTGAATAGGCATTTTTACTATAGCAAAATGTTGTTTCACTATAGAAAATCGTTGGTTCTCTTCTAGACCCAGACAATTTCCTATATATTGACCGAATCTGCACAAGGTGACCAATTCCTCGTTCGAACTGGGCAATTCCTTGCTAACTCGCATTTTTTAAATCACTGGTCTCAACCAATCCAATATGTATAAAACACTTTATTTTATTTCATGAACAACGGGAAGCTGAAGTTTTCTAGGAAAATTCTATAGACCCCTCCATTCATAAGATCCTCCATGAAGGATCGCCATTAGAATAGTTTTCATATCTATTGGTGTGGATCTTTGACATCAGTTATTTTACATAGTGATCCATTAAAAGACCTACACTTTGCAATTAAATTACTCAAATATTGAGCCATTTTATCAAGTTCTTTGTGACCCTATTTTGTGAGAGGACCGGGCCCCTTTTACATGGTCCTAGCCCTCCTAGCTTACCTTACCCTCTTCTGGGTAAACACTTTGTACCATTGTTAGAAAAACCGCGCGATCTAACCGGTAACAGCCAGGTTAGATTGGAACCGGCCCCTTGCCGGTTCCGGTTTCGGGCAGTTTTGGTGATCGGCCGGTATTTTAAAAATAAAAATTCAAAAAAAATGTCTATAAAATTTCAAAAATAAGGAATTTGATTTGTAATGCATTTTTTAATATTTTTTACATTATGGTAAATATTAAAAATATTTTGGTCATTAATACTCACTTTTAAAATCCATTTTTTTCATTAACTTTCAACTTCATTTGAATGCATTTTGTTTTAATCATTCTTCATATGCTTTTCATATTTTAGTAGATTTTTTTTTGCATCTTTTTAATTTTTTTCAACAATTGTTTGGCCGTCTGGGACTTGCCTAATTAGAACGGTTGAATTGGCCGATTTACCGGTTAGGCCGGTTAAATCGCTTCCGACCCCATGTTCGGTTAACCGTTCTGGTTCAATTTTGTGAACACTACTTTGTACTGGGTTCGTGCAATATGCTCATACCCAAGAATAGTCTAAATCCCCATTACATTCCCAAAATGAGATCAAAAGCCAGTAATCAATGATGTTTCCCCTTCAACCTTTCTTTATTTCTTAAATCAAATAAAATGACGCCACAACATGTTGAGTTTGGCATTAAAGCCACATAAAACATTGGACGGAATACCCTACTTCTTCCTAGCGGCAATGGGTAGGGTAGAACTAAAATGCCATCAACCCTTTCTAAATCCAAGTGTCAAGTGCAATGAAGACAACTAGTTACCTTCGGCGGTGAGTTAAAATTGAAATATACGGACTATGGCTGGCAATAGGCCGGGCCTGCTCTGGCCCTGGCCCAAGCCCAGCCCTATTCACCGTAGGGTTGGCCCGGACGAGGCCAAGGAGGTCTAGGCCCAAGCCTAGCCCTAGCCATAACCAGGGCGGGCCAGGCTGGACAAGATATAATTTTAAAAAATAAAAGAAAATTTAAAGAAAAGAAGGCCATGCCAGGCCAAACTGGGCAGGCCCTATCATAGCCCTAGCCCAGCCCGGCCTAAGGCCATGTGGTCCAGCCCTGACCCTTGGGCCACATATTGTGGCAAAGGCCCTAGTTTTTTTAGGGACGAGGCAGGGCGTGCCCGACCTGGCCGATTGCCACCCTTAAATATACTTTAATCCCTTACCAAGGAAAGAGAAAATCACTCTGTCTTTTTCTCAATGATCGAAAGGGCACAAGCAAAATAATGGCCCCTATGAAGACAAGACAAAGCTTATCTCTTTAAACAAAATCAAGGAAAACAATGTGGTAAAGCTCCACCTGCCAATCTAACCAAATCTCAAGCTAACTGGTGTATGGACCCCCCTTCATCCCAATCCATGTTGAGCGGTCCTTCCCTCCCACGGGCAGCTATAAACTCAACATCAATGATTCTTCCCTTAGGAATCCTGGTGCATCTGGATGTGGGAGAATCATTAGAAATGATGCAAGTAGTTTTGTGGCAGCCTTTGCAACCTCCCTTGGTTTCACCTCCAAGCTGATTTTTACGCTTTTGGCAAAGGAGCTTGACTGCAAACGCAACCTCCCTTGGTTTCACCTCCAAGCTGATTTTTATGCTTTTGGTAAAGGCGCTAGAATGAAAACCCTTAATAATTGAGAGTGACTCCAAAATACATGTTGAAATCCAAGCTGATTTTATGATTCTGGTAAAGGAGCTAGACTGCAAACCCTTAATAATTGAGAGTGACTCCAAAATACTTCTTGAATCCAGGACTAATGGTAGTAGAACCTCATGGAAGCTGCGCACACTTTTCTCCAATTGTAGGGCCCAACTCTCCTCCTTTGCAGACTACTAATGGCAGATCTCTCATGTTTTTAGGGAAGCGAACATTCCTGCTGATTGCTTGGCAAAAAGGGCGGTATCATTTGTAGAAGCAAACATATGGTGGGCTCATCCCTTGGATGTTATGCTGATTGCTTGGCAAAAAGGGCGGTATCATTTGTAGAAGCAAACATATGGTGGGCTCATCCCTTGGATGTTATGCACCCTTTCATCTTGTATAATATTCCTAACGTACCATTAGAAAGGGATGTTTGATGATTTTACTTGTAATATTTTTCATTGTATAGCAATAAAGTGGGTGGGGGCTAGTCTTCCTCGCTGATTTACCCAAAAAAAAAAACCTGTCCAATCTCATCATCACAAAAGGAAAAATAGGGATGATACAAGTGGGACATGTATGCCCACTAAGCTATCTTTTAAGGGAAGTGTGACCCACTAATCAACACCACCACTAACGGTTGATGAAGCTCTATCAAAATCAACAATTAACCCCCACTACCCTACTGCTTCGAGGAATAACTATTACTTAAATCAAGTATCCCACTTTCACATACCACAATCAACTACTGATAGTTGGAAGTGCTCTATAAATAGTGCCCACCGAAACACAACAAAGAGACCTGAAGGCGGAAAGTCAACAAGGCACTACAATAAGGAGACTTTCTGTTTTTTTGACAACATTATTTTATTGATCATGAGAAGATTACAAAATTCAAGGAGGAAGGAAATAAGATATTAGAATAAAGTCCAAGTCAACACCATACTTGGCAAGGTCATCCGCAATTGCATAGCATCTCTGTAAACAAGTTGGAACGATACTTGCAAATTTTCGCAAAGGTCCAAGATTCCCATCCACTACCTTCTCAATCGCCAAGGAGGCCACGACACATAAGCGCACCAATTAATAACATTTAGCAAATCCCCTTCCACTACACACGGATCTTGCCACTCCTTTGGGCCATCAATTGTAATCTTCTTTCAAGTGTCTCCATTTCCACTTCATTAGCCGTTAAAATACCACTCGCACCTGCATAGCAAAATACTATAGCTCCATCCGCATCCCTCAGGATGCCACCAAAGCCTGAGGGCCTTGGCTTACTCAAAGAGCTCCCATCGAAATTGAGTTTCAAACAAACCCTCGTCGGCGGAATCCACCTTCCTCTCGGTCTTATGTTCACTATTTTTTGAAAAATCAAGTTTGAAAGATTGGCTTCCAAATCAACCCTTGATGATCCAAATCCTTCCTTTGTAATAGAGAACCATTTCCACATTGTGCTCATAATTCTCCTTTCCACCTTTACGCTCTCCAACACCTGGCTTTCAAAAATTCTTCTATTTCGCTCCAACCATACTTCCCATAAAACCGCT